AGAGTATTTCTGTCTTCCCTCTTGTTTAATCGTTACGAATCATTCTTATGGCCACGTCACCGATACGTCAAGTATACGTTAGTAACGGGTCCCTCGTTACTCAAGTCGGAGATATTTGGAAAGTGACAGTGGACGAAAATATCAGGAAGCTGGTTATGCAGCCGTAAGAGGTTATGACGTAAACAGGTTTCGATTGAAGCTAAATTTATTTTGCGGCTCATTGTTGTTCCCCGACGGTGTCAAATCCATATCGCCGTTATCGTTGGATAATATTCAAATCGTAGCTGGATCCCGTTTCGTCTATGGTGTAACGAGGTCTAGGCTAACCGTTCCTCGGATCAACAGTTGGACGAGCGTAGGATGGAAAAACATTCGAATCGATCGCGCGTAAAATAGGATCGCGGGGTCGATTGCGAATCGTATCCATCGCCGCATCGGCCTGGTATTCGCGCATTCATTAGTTTATCGAGAGAACGTGCGAACGACGCCTTAAAATCATCGGTGCCCGCGTATAAGCCCGCCCTTGAATACTACGTGAAAACTACGTGTGGGCATCGCGCGCGTTGCGTTACAAACGGACATACCCGCTTCTATTCCCGGATTAAGCCGGGATTTTATGCGATCTCCAGACGGAGAGCCACGCTCGAACGCGGTTTTACGCTCGGTGCACGATCCATCCTTTCTATTTTTATCAAATCGCCGTTTGAAACAATCCGCAAATCGCAAAGAGGATCGACCCGCCAAACGGATTCGAGATTCTTCGAACGATCAATCTCGAGCGGTAACTGTTTTAGGAGATGATTATTGGGTTATCGGCGAGGCGAGGAGCGATCGAATCTCTCTTTCTCTCCGTGACACAGATAATCGAGGAGTAAAGCCGTCGATTCGACGGATACCACCTCGGTCTCACCATTTCGGGCGAAAAGGTCGATACAAGCACGGAGCAGTAAGACTCTCCGTTCACCGAGCGGTTAGACCTCTCTGTGCGAAACGGCGGGGGCGTTGTGACAGGACCTTGTCGCGGCCCACACACAGGGCTGTACCACCGAGTTCCACGAAAACTCCTCGTCACGAGATTTCCATTCGTCTCGAGAGAAGAGAGAGAGAGAGAGAGAGAGAGAAAGAAATATCTAACATCGGCCACGGACGATCCATCCTGTTTCTTTTTCGCGCGTCTTCTCCTTCTTGAAATCGATCTTGTCGTTGCTATTTTTTTTTTTTTTTTCCTTTAATACAATCTTGTCTCGAATATTTTTTCTTTTTTTTTTTTTCTTCAAATCTTACACATACTGCGCAGTCTCGTAAATGGCAAGGATATTTAATTATCGATCTTCGACCGACTTTTTCAAAGGATCACGTGTAGGAGGAAGCAGGAGAGGATGCGTGGGTATAGAATCGTTTCCGCCGACCATCGAAGAAGATGCATAAAGCGGCGGCCTTGATTTCTCGTTTACGCGCGCGGGAAGATCGTTCGTGAAATCGATCACAAGTTTTAGTTTAAATAATCAACTTTGACGCGCCTCTTCTTTTTCTGATATATTCGATAATTTTTCCCCTTTTTTTCTCTCAATGCTACGCGCTTTTACCTTTAACTCCCCGCAATAAGAACGAAATAAGAACTCGTGGAAATCGATCGAATGCGATTTTCTATGGTAAAAGCGAGTCTTCGCGAGCGTTTCAATCCACAAATTTTTTTTCGCAAACGATTTTCACGAATTTTCACAACGATCGATTATAAGCGAATTAACTTTGATTTAACGTGGATTCCTTGTGAAGTGCTTACAATTTCTTCGACGGGATAAAAAAAAAGACAGGATGCAGCCTTCTGTTCGACCGCCTGCTCTCCTCGAAGGAATTTTTTTTAAGTCATCCGTTCGAAATAACCGTTGTTCGGAATAAGTTCGGATCGAAATCAATAAGTTCATTGTTTCGCCTTTCACGAACGGTTAAAAACTCGCGTGGAAAAAGTTTTATTATTAAAATTAAAATCTATACTTTATTTTACCCGGTTCTCCGAGAAGCATTCCCCCCCAACCAAGTTTCTAAACTGTCTGTAACAGAGATCAACCAAGATACCAGCGTGCCGTTCTCGTAAGTCATATCCCAAACGAGAGGAAATACGGGTGGAATACGCGCGAGCCACGGCCGATTGTTCGCCAAGATTGTTTCGCAACGGAGGCAGCCCGCTTAGGGGAGGGGGGAGTCGATACGCGATTAACAAGATATACGAAAGCTTTTGGAGTAGCCGTGGACGGATTAAAACCCGGTCGAAAATTATCCGTCCGTGTCAATTTACAACGGAACCGCGCCACCCACGCGTACAATAAATCCGTGCCCCGTTGTAAATTATAACGCGAGAACGGTAATCGTTGGAGGTAGTACCACCCATACCACGATATTTCACCCCTTCCCAGCCGATGGCTGGCTGCCATTGTCTTGGACTTAACGAGACGGTTGCCTCGTTTAAATGGAATTATCCTGTCTCATTAAGCAAGGATCGACATATTTTTCGCTCGAGGGAGCACGAAACGAGAGTCTCTCTCTCTCTCTCTCTCTCTCTCTCTCTCTCTCTCTCTCTCTCTCTTTCTTCCTCGATGCGTTGCAACGAAACAACGTGTCCATCCACGGCCCCGTGGATTCGCGATAAACCTCGATTCCACACCCTCGGGATGCAATGTCCAAGAAGTTATTAGACGCGCATCGACGATTTTATCGTGTGACCGAACGTTCCGTGAGACGTCTCGATGATGATTTCCGTCCGATTCGTTGCCTTCTTTTCGTAACGATCTCGGTCGAGAGAAAGAGAGAAAGAGAAAAAAAAGAAAAATAAAAAACGGAGACTACTTTCTTTATCGTTTCTCAACGGTTCTGTGTCGTGAATCATCGACCAGGCTCCTCGTTCCTCCTCGTTCGGCTCCGACCAATGGATGACAAAAGATGGAGTCGAAAGAATTTCCAAGGAAGGCTGTGACTACTTTTCTACCCCTTTTTTCCCCGGGATCCTTTTATCCCCTTCTCCTCTTATTTCCGACGATCAGTCACATTTTTCTGCTCTCTCGATGACTCAAGTCCATTTATATATATATAAAAATAACTCGTTTCGCGAGTTGCCTCGTCGAGGACACGTTTCATTGGCAGGATTTCGTCGTATTTACAAAAAGAGAAAGAAAGAATAGATAAGAGGAAAGGATACCTTTTCTCGTTTCTCTCTCCTACGTATCAAACGACGGTGGCGCCTGTCTTTTCCCCGAACCATTCCTGAGCTCTTATTAAACCATGACGCGCTGTCATTAGGAACTGTGACCGAAGATCGGTGACCGATTTTTTGCTGGATTTCTTCGGTCGAAAAGCGAGGAGAGGCGATCCCCGACGAGGGGTCTGGGACGGGAAACGAGCCGATTACGAAGCATCGATCGTCTCCACCAAATCACTGTAATTAGACACGGGGTACGCGAACGAGACGAGAATCGGTTTGCTCGCTTGCTATCCGATGAATAGAGGATAATCGTAGCGCGGCTAAGTACGTACATTGTTATACCTGTCGTTCCGCTATAATTTCCCGTTTCTTATCGTAACGCGTGACGAGTGCAACCAGTGGAACCGATAATCCGATCGAGTACTACCTTCCGGTGATGAGGAACCGATATGTATATAAGAGCAGAGTTGTAACAGAATTGAAAACAAAAAAAAAAAAAAAAAAAAGAGGGAAGAAAATAACGATCGAGAATCCCGAAATCCTAATCGATCGAATCCTTCGTCTTCTATCGCAAGGATACTACACGAATACAATTGAGAAACCTGTCGATTTCGATCGACAAATCCCTAAGATCGATTTAAGAATGCGTCAAAACGTTTATTCCATATACCTGGATAACAACGATCTTTGTGACTTGATGGAACGAACTTATATAGACCGGTTGAGAAAAGGATGAAATTAACGTATGAGAACGTAGAAACTGAATTTCTGGGTGGCGATCGAGAGTCCCAGAATCCCGGTGAACTCGAGCGAGGTCGAGCTCACGTGGTCGTGTCGAGGAGGAGGAGGACGCAGCGAAGGAGGAGGAGGTGGATTAACGGGAGAATCGAGTGGTCCGCCTCGCCTCGAGGAGGACCGCAGGACGCGGAGGACAGCCGAAGGAGGCGACCGGGTGTGCGAAAGGAGAGGAAGGTAAGCGGCGTGGAAGTGGACGGGGGAGAGGAGAGCGACTGTGTGTGCGAGGAGAGGGGGAGGAGAAGGTGGTGGACAGAAGGTGATGGAGGGAGGAGGGCGGGAGAGAGGAGCAACACGCTCTCCTCCGTGGTGCACACTCTCGTGGTGACTCCGTCCGGCAAAGTGCTCGCGTTCGTGAAAGTCCACAGACGACTTTCAGGGTCGTCTGCTGCTCCGCTCGTTCGCCCGAAGCCGGCTTCTTCGTCTCGCGAAAAGAAGCCACCGAAAGAGATCCAAAGATACTTCTGTTGCGGTTACGAGGTGGCCGAGAGAAGAGCTCTCCTCTCCCTCTCTTCCTCTCTTTCTCTCTCTCTCTCTCTCTCTCTCTCTCCCTTTCTCTCTCTCTCTCGACCGCGACACCGATTCGTCGATCCCGCGGATACGACTTTATCGAAGGATCGATGAGACACACCGAGACCGCGACGCGCGATTTTCTCCCGTTTGTCGTCGTTTTCGTGGCGGTGGGACGAAGATCGAGATCCTCGTCCCAACCGAGTTCCTCGACCGAGCACACCGATGTCGCTCCCCGCCGAATCGTTGGCAGTTCGATAGTTGCAGCCGGACGAACCACGGACCGGATACATTGGTTGACATGTGATCGAGCTGTGCTCCTTCTCCATCTCTTCGCCGGACGGGTCAAACGTGCTACGATTCGACGTGAGATACGCGACAGATCAAATCGTCCGGGACACGTAACGAAAGGTGGAAATCACGAAGAAGAAAAAGAAGAAGAAGAACCGTAGGAAAAGGTTTTTCCAACGTGACGATCGATCGATCGATCGATCGTGCCTACGCGATCGAGACGATGACGTCCCGCACTGACGTTCGCGGCTGTTCCTCGATGAGGGAAGGATCGAAGGTGACGCGCGTCAAGGATCGTCTTCTCCACGACGGGGAGGATCGTGAGGACCGCCCGTTGAACAGCGGTTGCAAGAGCGGCCAAGGGAATCGTTACCATTTCGGGATGGCGAGGAACGAGGAGAGGGACGAGGCGAGCAAGAACGGGCGAGACTACGGGGAACACGGGAACGTAAACGCGGACGTGTTGTACAAAAAGAGCAAGGAACACTTCGGCGCGTGGGATATCAAGGACATTGTGCAGGACGAGGGTTCGAGATCGAGGAGGCAGACGGATCGATTGACGAACGGCCGGTCGAGAGCGCAAGATCGTTGCGCCGATGTCGACGACGTTGAGGGGAAGACGGGATCGGGAATCGATCGGTCTTCCGGGCAAGTCGAGGAAAAAGGCCCGCACAGGTTGAGGAGAAAGGAGAGGTGGGAAAGCTCGGACGGTTCGAAATTTTCCGCCGCGAGATCGGGTCGAACGGCGAGAGGCGACGAGAGAGGCGATCGCGAACTTTTGAAAGAGATCGAGAATTTGAGCGTCGTCGATGGAAGGTCGGGCGAGGATCGGAGGATCGGGGCGATGATCGAGCGGTTCAAGTCGAGGGAAGAGGATAAGTCCAAGTTACGTCCAGGGGAGTGGAATTCGATCGGTTCGACCGAGAGGGAGGGGTACGGGTCGAGGGGCGGAGGTCGAGGTGAACTTCGTACAGATCGTGTCACGGATATCAACGATCGCGATAGGGGCAGGATCCAGAAAGACGATCCGGCGGGGGAGCGCGGATCCAGAGGGTCTAAGTTGGGAGGGGCGGAGAAATACGGGCGAGAGGAGGTCCGTGGCAGGAGTGGTTCCGTGGACCGAAGGATGGAAAAATTCAGCGACCCGTTTGTGGACAAGAGGCGTTCCAAGGAGACGGTGGAAGACGACGTTTCACGGAGGAGAGAGAATAATCTAAGGAGGCGAAGTTACGCGTACGACGGTAACCCGGACGATTTCGAGGTGAGGATACAGAGGTACGAGAGAGGTGTGGTCCCGGAGGCTGGTAGAAGAGACGCGGATTCGTTCAAGCGGGTCTCGTCGAAGGAATCGGGCGTCGAGCCGGGGAGGAGGGACTCCTTCAAGGATCCTCTGGATCGACAGGTAACGAGGAGGACTTCGTTCAACAAGTGTTGCGACGCGAGAAGGAACTCGCACCGCTCTCGGGACAGAGAGTCCAGCAAGGATCGCGAGAACGAGCCGTGGTCAGGAAAGAGTTCGTTCAAAAGCCAGGACGCGGAGAAGAAATACTCGGGAAGGGAGAATCCGGAGCAACGCGTTTCGTCCAAGGAGCAAGGTTACGAGGGAGCGGGGAGGAAGAATTCCTTCAAGGAACCGGATTCGGATTACGGGAGAATTTTGTCGAAGAATCGAGACAACGACGAGGAGGAGAGGAAGCGCTCGTTCAAGGGGCACAACTCCGATACCGGAGTTAGTCGAATCACTTTCGAACAACAGGACGCCGATCCGAGCAGGGTACACTCGTGCAAGGATCGAGAGGCGGACGTCGGCTCGAGGGTGAGCTTCGACCGCTCGGGGCGTAAGAATTCCTCGAAGGAGAAGAGCGTAGAATTTGGCGGGATTTCGTACAGGGATGACGACGACGACGCCGAGGCGGGGAAAGCTCGGTCTTTTCGAAATCTCGACGAGGCGAGAAGGAGGCACTCCCCAAATGGCCGGTACGTCGAGTTCGTCTCTTTTCAGAGCGAGGCGGACGACTCCGAGGCGAGCCCTTCGAACGATCGGGGCTACGATTCGGAGAGGAGAGGCTGGTCGAGGGAGCGCGGGGATCCCTCGTCCAAGAGGCGAGGTTGCTCCTCGAGGAGCAGGAATCGGGAAGAGGGCGATAGCGATAAAAGATCGGACAGGCACTCGAGACCGTTGACACCGCCGAAACGGGAGGGCGGGGAGGAGAAATTCGATTCGAAGGCATGGCACGAGAGCAACCGGATTTTCGCCGCCAACTACATCCGAGAGAACAGCAGATACCGGGCGAATCCCGAGGGGCGTTCGGAGATCGATCGAGATCCGTCCCCCGAATTCGAGATCCAAGGATCCCGAGATAGGGTTCATCGTTCGTGGGTCGAGGAGGGGTCGAACCTCGAGTTCGAGGGCTCGAAGCCTCGGAGCGGGTGCGCGAAATCCGAGGAGAATCGGGCGCACGCGTTGGGGAAGAACGGGGAGCATCCGTCTCCGAGAGACGGCGATGCGAGCAGATACGCGTCGTCGACCCACGAAGGGAGGAACGGGGCGACGATCATCAGGATTAGATCGAGCCCGGAAACGGGTGTCGAGAGGAGACGTCGTCGTCGTCCTGCGCAGGACGCGTACGCGACGGGAAGGCGGAGGCGTTACGAGGCGGAGGAGGACGAAGAGGACAGCGAGGAGGACGAGGAGGGCGACGATCGGCGCGGAGGGTCGCGAGGAGGAGACGGGTTTATACCTGGAAGAGGCGTTTCCACACCTTCGAGAAGAGTCTGGAATTACCGCGAAGGGGTATGGCATTTTCATGAGTCAATTGCATTCGATCGATCCTTTATGGTTCAGAAGCGGGAAGCGATATTCATAAATCGATGGAGAAGATGAAAAGAGACGTGATTTTCTCGTAGAAAGAAAGAAAGAAAGAGTCGCGGAGTGGTGCATGTTTACTTGTAAATACACGTACAGAGGGTGGGGAAATGTTCCATCTTTTGCTCCGATTCTCATTTGGCGACGGGATGCTATAAGTACAAGTGTCGGGTGTGTTGGTGGATCGTTGAAAGGTGCGAAACCGTTTTCTTGGCCGCGTTACACGCTCGCCATCGATCGATCGTCAATTGCCATTTTGTATCGAGATCTCTCTCAATACCGTTTTAACTCACAAATGAATACGCAAACTCGTTGTTACTTTCTTAACTCCATATTGTGCGCACGCTTTTATTATATCTTATACATTACACGAGAGTTCGTCGAGCATCGAACGGACTTAACGAACTTGTATGAATTAAGTGAAAGCAATGATTACGAGAGCAATTATATCTATGGAATTATCAGATATGTATATATATATATACATATACATATACATATATATATATATAGAAATATAAATATAGAAAGTTTTAATCGAATTTCTAGTTGAATCAGTGAAATTCTTTGATTCCAATCCAACCCCAATCGCGATTCGTTCCAAGTCCAATTGACGCTGTTTGCGAACATCTCTTCATTTCTTAGACGATAATTATAGAGTATAGCCGGTGCTACACTCGGATTGAATAACGCGGTGGAAAGCGCGGAGATCTCGGTTGGCCGCCAAGTCGGGGTGCGAAAGCATCCGAATTTTTTTTTTTTTTTATCTCTCCACGCTTTGCTACCGATCCTTTGATCAATCCACTCACCTTGCTCGGTTCATTTCTCGAAGCGTGGACGAAATGGACGCGCGCCACGGGCTAAAACGCCAACTTTCACGAGCGATCGTCGTTTCCCTTTTGCGAGTTCAAAGTTGGCCATTTACGCCGAGCGAAAATTACACCGGTTCGATTTTTTTCGCACGCTCGCGAGTTATCCATCTCTCGACGGTCTCTCTCTCTCTCTCTCTCTCTCTCTCGAGGGTTAACGGTCTGTCATTCAGCCGGTTTAACGCAAGTTTTCAATGTTCCTTACGTAATTCAACCGTGTATTGGCCAACGCGTCATGGAAATGTCAGCAAACCGCCCACAAATGGAATGGTCGCGCTGCGTGTAGGACATGCACGTATGCACGGATCACATCCTTACCTCCGAGGCCCCGTGGAGTTAAAAAGAAAAGAAAAAAAAAAAAAACTGGCTAGGCCTTTGTCCAAGTATAATCGACGATCGTCAATCATCGTCGTTAACGATGGAAGTCGATATAATCGCGACGATCGAACCGGACTATAAGCGTACGATGCTGTTAACCGAGCTATAAACGGTCGAGGAGTCAACGACATAAGATATGCTCGAGACCAAGTGGCGATTACGTATATACACGTATATACGTCCACGGAGGAATTTACGCGGTGATAGGAAATCGTGTTTTTCGCCTTCGTTCCGTTCGATTTCTCCGAATACGGATCTCTGACGATCGCCTTTTTTCGCGAGGCGATTTTACAAATTTTGGATCGTCGGAAGGAAGGAAAGAAGGAAGGGAGGAAGGAAGGAAAAAGAAGAAAAAGAAACTGGAATTAAAATCGAATTATCCGGCAATATATGTTCCATATGTAAACGGAACATGGGAAGATATTAACGAGAGATTTCCAGATGGTGGAGGGGAGAAAAGAAAAAGAGAGAAAAAAATGGATCCTTTCACTCGTGAGTCAGGACGAAAAATATGTTAATTAGGCAGTGGTTCGGCCCGTTCGGCTCGGCTATCATTATTCAAGATTCCTATATATAGGCAGCTAGAGACACATCGGCTCACACATTTTCCTTGCGGCTCGTCTACTCGATATTTGGCGATGCCAAGTACCCGTTTCACGTGGGCGGGCCGACCATATATGCCGGCCGGAAAGGTTCTTGAACGCGTCCAACGCGCCTCGAGCTTTCCATCCTCGCTTCTTCCCTTTATCTCCGCTTCGTAAACGGCCGGGACGACGCGTTTGGAAGCAGCTCGGCGCGTCCCAAATGTCACCGAACGACTCTTTAAACCCGTGAACGTGTGGGAGATTGAAATCTCTTAAAAGGAAAGCTTGACCGATTCGCGGGGGAAATTCGATTTCGGGCCGGATTGGTTTTGGAATGGAATATGGGATCCATGGCCGAACGTCGAGGAGGCGAGCAATTAAAAAGAAAAAAGGAAAAAACTTCTCCCAATTGGAAGGCGAAGACTCGCTTCGCTTCGGCCTTGTCCCGCTTCGCACGTAATTATGAGCGAGTCACGATCGCGCGATGGAATGACGTTATTTTTCCTTTACTCTCCTCTGCATCCTTTGCCTTTGTCTTTTACTTTTTCTTTTCTCTCCCTTTGTTCTTTTTATTTTACATTTCACGGTCGAGGGAGAACGAGACGCGCATCTTCGTTGGACGAAAGGCGAGCGTCTCGTTTCGATCGAACGACGATGCCCCGGGCGATTGACATTTGCAAACATGATCCAAACCTTTCACCGTTTTGCAATTAACGCGGGGATCCGATCGCGGGAATGGCCATTCCTATCGATTTATCGGATCCCCGATGATTCGTTCTTTCTTTTTTTTTTTCTATTTTGGAAATAAATCTCGGCGAGCAATTGAATGGAATTTTTTGATTTGTTTGATCGCAGGGTGTCCTGATCACGGACGTCGAGGAGGGCCAACCTTGTTTGCAATGCGGGGATTCGTGTTCAGGATTCTCACCGCACACGTGGAGGTAAGGAACAGTAGATCGAAAATTTCTTTTTAATCTCACTGTACGCGGTTAAGATATGTTAATTCATTTCCGTTTCCGCGGAGATAAGAACGAGAGAAAAATAAAGGAAAAAAAGGAAACGAGCTTGCGCAAAAACTGCTGAATGGCATTTAACAAGTCGATATCTTCCTCCACTCGGTCTTTGACACACTTCCACGTCTTCTTCGCTTTTCCCACGTCTTACGTTGACACTCGTCCGCGATCCGCTCCAATGATCGATCAACCTTTCGATTACACCGTCTAATGGATTCTATCGTGTTTCTTCTTAATCTGTTACGAATGATTATATCAGCCGGAAGAAGGACAGGGTATATCAGAACTAAGTATCGATCGAGATGGAAAGTCGTTTCGGGAAAAATTTGAATCTCGCGAGAACAGCGTGGCGCGAATCGGATCGAATCGAGAGTTTCGACGAACGAAAGAGAGGGAGGGGGGGAAAAAAAGGCGATGAAACGGGACAAAGAAACGGTGCGCAAGATCGATCGATGTGCAAGAATGATTCGCAACGTATCCATTATCCCGAGCGTAACTGAACAGCGGTGAAATTACCGGTGAGGTAATTATCCTTGGAGGTGATTTACGGAGCAGCAATGCGGTAATAAACGAATTAATTGGCCGGGGAAGCGGAGGAGAGTCTCGATTCTCCTTCCAACGTGGCTCGTAGAGAGGGGAGAGGTGTGGGGGGTAGAGCGTCGTGCTCGGTTGCATTTATAACCAGTGAAATGGGATTCGTACAGTTACTCGTGATTCGGCCATTCGAATCCGTGCATAACGGTTGGAAATTACCTTATTTATCTTATCCTTGTATTTCGTTCGTAATTCCCCTGGGAATCGTGGGTGAAATTTTGCGGAATTTTCCCGTCTCCGTTTTAGAAATCGGAACGAAACGTTTCGATCGTTGCTTTTTTTCGTTGTCTCGACAGGCTTCGAAACGCGTGGGCGTCGTTTCTCCTTTCCTAACCGCCACGAATTAAGCTTGTTAGCTTGGAAAAACAAGGCGAACGTTATTCCTAGGAATACCGTTACAATTATTTCGGAGCCGGGTCATAGCTCGTTTCAAAAATAAATCGTTGACATGTGCGTACGAAGACGCTCGCTCGGTAAATTTAGATTAATTAATTGCCGATGGATTTCTCCATTTCTCTCTTCGATCGATGACGCAAATCGGATCCTTTTCAGATATTCTTTTCAGCCCCTCCCTTCTCCCTGCCGTATTATCAGCAAGAAGGCGAACAAAGGCGAACGCGACTTTATCGATCCAGGGACCTTCGTAAATTCTCCCCTATCGATCTTCCAACTTTTACTTTCGTCGCGTGCGTATGTGATTTATTAATTGTCTGGTTGAAGGCGCGGCATTGATGGTGTCACAGATCAACGCTTGTAAACTTACGAAACAACGAAGAGGAATTTGTCGTTGTCGTTTCACTTTCGCTTAAATTCAATAAAACATCGACGAAAGTTCGTTCGTTATATCCTCGAAACGACGCTTACTCGTCATATAGGACCCGTAATCTTTATCTTTATTCTATTCATCGATCGAATTCGATTCCTGCATTCGATCAAAAATCGTTTACTTATCCGAGCCTACGCCTATGCACGTCGATAATTTACGCAACGAAAGCGAACGCGTGGTGCGCGTGGACACGCGCATTTTCGACCGTGTCGTTCTCCAAACGAGAGCGCATAGGCGCCGCCTCTACGTATCCAATGTTTAACTTTTATCGATTTACGAGAGCACGCGGAACACTCGATGCGAAATACCGCTCGACTGATTTAACAACGGTGTACGCGAGTCGATCTAGCACGCGCGGCTGTTTATCGAATCTCAACCTCTCTCTCTCTCTCTCTCTCTCTCTCTCTCTCTCTCTCTCTCTCTCTCTCTCTCTTTCTCTCCTCTTGCTGCTCCCCATCCATCGTGGAGCACGTGCTCTCCGTATTTATAGCTTTATCACTATAACGTTTATAACGAGAAACGAGCGAGCGGAAATCTGTCTGAATTAGGGGAATTCCGTTGCTGGTTGTCGTTGGCGCGCTAGATTTCCGCGGTCGCATTTCCCGAGACGATAAGCCGAGGCGGCCCGCTCGTTAAATTACGCCCGCTTTACGAGCGTATCGCGCACGAAACGATCCATAACACACGGCGGAAACACGTGGCCGTACTTGCGGATCGGCTATTTTACAAACAGACGAGTTGTTTCCAACAGGCGAGCTGGGTTAACGATATATATATGCTCAAACACACGCCCGATCAGACCTAGACCAGACCTTGCATACCCTAGATCCAGCGCATTCAGGGCTCACGTGGCTAGGTGACGAGGACTGGGCGGCTCGAGGGAGCGTGGGTGTGAACCATAAGCAGTCGAGTCGTGGAACGTGGAGGATTAGCATAGATTCCAGAGGCGCGATGATGGATCGCGTTAATTCGTTCCCGAGGCTGCTTCCTTAAAGATCAAGGCTTCGTTCCTCCCCCGTTATTTGTTCGCTCTATTTTCGTTTACCGAAAATTCTTCCCCTCGAAATTTATCTCGAAATTCAATCAATTCTCCAAATTATATTGCGCCCTCTCGATCGCTGTGATCTCTTCGACAATATTGCAAATTGTTGTGCCCGCGTATCTACTACATATACCGCTCTATATTCGCTCAAGTTAAATCGCACGTTCGCAAGAAATCGTTTCGCGGAGTTGGAATCGATGTTTTACGGCGTTTTATCGGGCGGCAATTGCTCGAGACTCGAGCGATTCGCGTGTGCGTCCTCGCGCGCGACAAGCCGTGAGTCATTGAGCGTGCCAGCTCGCTCGCATCGGGTCTCGCCTGTTTCTGCCAACTCGCACGACACGCCGCGCGTACACGTGCTTGGACGATATGCGCCAGTGTAGGGCCAGCGAGCATCGTCGTACGAGTTCGTCTCGCCTTTTGACCGGGACCGTCCACGTCGTGGATTATTCCGACGTCTCCCAGTCGGCGAGTCGACGCTCGCCCGGCCAACTGGAGCGTCCTCTTCCAGTTTCGGCTTGGATCGTGCACCGGTGACGTCGTCGCGAATTCGCTCCACGACGTCGCCTATCGCCGGTTACGTAACTTATTCGGCGTAGTAGTGCTACGCGACGCGCGTGGGACGATTCCAAGCTGGTCGAGATCCGGGAGATCGGTGCGTGTACCTGTTGCACGACACGTTGCTTCGTTGTTGGAAACGTGGTTTATTGGAGAAGTGCGTGTACGGTTGCCAGTGGTGATCCCTGAACAACAGCAATCTTGTTCCTGTGCAATTCCGTTCCTGGAATTTCGGAAATTGGATTCGTTGTTATTATTATTATCGACGTTTGCCTAGGGATTTCCACGAGTGACGGGTAAAGAAGAAAAATAGGATCGATGGTTAAAGAAACGGGTTTATAATTTAGATTCGTGTGGACTAGATTTTCGGCGGAGTGGCTTCGATTCTGCTAGGACCGATTCTAGTGGAACACCTGTTGCTCCGCGCCCGACGAGTTAAAATTTCATCGAGACGCAACAGCTCGATCCAATCTTTCTCTTTCGAGAACGATCTATCTACCCCTTGTAAATGGAATTTCTTCTTCGTTATATATATATATATATACGTGAAAAATATGAAGCGCGGTGTTGTATAGTCGGTGCTCGATGATTCATTAAAATTGCACGTACCGCGGGAAGGGAGGGAGTCGCGAGGAAGAGATTAAACAAAATGCAGACGATGTCTGTCGACGTTCGTCTCGCGACGGTGTATATCACCGTACGAAAGCCGCGAGTAACGCGTTATTATTCGCGTTATAACTCGGTCGCGTACGATTAACGCCATGTTTCTTTCGTATCGCGGGCCGGCAAATTCCTTCGTTCCCGATCTTTTATTATACCTTCGCTCCTTCGTTCCCAACTTTTCGAGTCCGCTTTTAATCCGTAATTTTAGACATATTTCAAAATATATTTTGCTTCGCGCTACTCGCGTTTCCTGGCACCGGACGGTCCGAGTAATAGCGTAATTTTTGAAAAACGAACGTCGTTTCAACAATTCCTGAACGTTGCCTAAGGTCGACGACAGACCTTCTATTCTATTCCGCGATTTTGCAAACGGCACAGTTTCGTAAAATCCCGTCTATTTTTATTATGTAATATTTCGAATTATTTCGACACGGAGGGAGGGGAAACGTGAAGAAATCCTACTACTCACCGGTTAGTTATGCAGGTCTAGTTTATTTCGAGTGGAAAACACTGGTGAACGATTAAAATTCCCCGTGTCAACCTCGCCCGGTGCCCGCGGAGGCATTCCTCTCACGAACTTTGACGGCCATCTCCCGTGTAAAAAAAGTTGGCGGTTTGTCGGCCAACGGAAAAATATCGCGAAGACAAGCGGTTGATGGGCGGGGAGTGTCGAAACATCGGATGGAGAGAAAAAGAAAGAAAGAAAGGAAAAGAAAAAGAGAGTCGTTTAGCAATGTGTGCCGCGACGCAGCGAAATCGCGCGCGGTGGAATTGGCGCAACCGCGGCGCAACCATTTGCACTCCACGGAATATCGGATAACGAAAATTCAAGCGAGTCGTATCGACGCCCGTCTTCTTTTCGTTTCGCGAGATTTAAGACTCGGGGTACGCGGCGCGGGTGCCTCTCGCGCTCGAGCGTCTATTTTAAATCGGCCCACCTATCGCGTTTTTAAACGCTCTAAACGGTGATTTACAACCGTGCACCCACCTCCCGCGGCTGTTCCCTGCTTCCGAAAACACGATAAAAGCCTATTTTCGGTCCGGCCAATGCCGCCACCGTCCCTGCCCTTTTCCAACCAACAGCCTCGCGGCTAAGTAGTACCTCTCCAACGCTCCTCTCTTTCCTGCCGATGAAAGATGAAAAACCGCGATACTCTCGAAAGAATCGACTCGAAGAAAAAGATTTTCGGATTATTACTTATTATTTTCGGATAATGCGACGATTAAGTTTGGAGAAAATGGCGA